GGGGGGGGGGGCGGATCAGTAAAAAGACGATTTTTTAGTGCCCCTTGTCTTTCTGAAGTATGATGGATTTTGTGTTTTAATTCACTAATAAGATCATATCTAAAGATGATTTTGGCGCCCAAGATGTTGGCACCTGGTGTGAATGCCCTCTTTGCCCCTTTCTAATGTCTCTGCCTGAGGGCAACATAGCACCCAGAGCAAGGCGACGTATTTTATGGGAACCAGTGGGCTGGCACAACAGGTGGCGGTGTAAACCTGCGACACAATATTTTCTTTTTGTAATTGTGATGTCACAATTATCTATTAAATTATTTGATTTTTCTGAAGGTTTTTTTTTATTGGTGGAGGGGGTCGAAAGCTTCTTGTACTAACGCAGTGGTGGGGGGGGGGGGTCCCCAAAACGTACGCATGCAACAGAGGGGAAGGGGTAGAACATTGAACTTTATTGCGTACGTACTAAATGGATGGCCCTTAAGTTGAAAATGAGGGGAGGTTTTGCAACAGTGACCTATGCCTGCAGTTTAAATGTTCTCTTCCTCTTATAGGGAAGTGGACGGTGTAGAAAACAAAGGCCTCATTTTTTTGTATTGTTTTTGAGCGTTCTAACTGTTATGGAGAATATTTCAATGCAGCGATTCTTAGAATGTGAGAGAGATGGGGATAAATTAATTCCAGTGATGAAAATGAAAATATTTTTAAAGATTAATTTTGCTCTATTTTTTTTTTTTTACAACGTTTTTGGTGAATTACTTTTGCAGTAACTTACACCTCGGTATGTATCTTTAAACACTGATTTTGTTGGAAGTATTTATGAACATTACCATATTAAAAAAGTGGGAGGGGGAAGGGGGAGCAAAATGGGAACTTGCTCCGTGTGACGACATCAGAGGTCCCTTTCGGTCGTGACTTTTTTCTGTCTGTTGACGGGCGCCATTTTCGAAAAAAAATCTACATTTCGCACTTGCAAAGTTATTATTATTTTTTGTAGGGGCATAAAATTCTTGGTCCTATCTGGGCGGCACAAACCCTAGCAACGCCACTGACACTGACAAACTTTCTTCGAAAGCAAGTGATGTTTAGTTTTTTTTAAAATATGTCAATTATAACCCTATTACGTGCTATAATGAGAAATGTATATGTTTAAAGCCACTGAAATACCCCTATTTTCCTGGATGCAGAAACAAAATCTCGTTATAATTTGGTCGTAAGTCTGTAGATGAGTATTCAATGGTTTTAAAATAAATTAGTCATATTTTTATTTTAAGACCTTTTCAAGGAAGTTATGTAATAATAATATAATAGTGTCACACTTTTGAACAAAGGGGCACAAGCTTGGTAGCGTAATGCACTGATTAATGGACTGATAACAATTCAACCCCACGGTACTTTTACAGTGCTTAGTGGGGGGAGGGGGGATAAGGAATACCACTGTTTTTTTATGTTTATATTTTGGTATCTATGATTGTCAAAGCACTAGCTACACATTCAAAGTAAAAAAAAATGCTGTGTTGTTTACTGGGCAATAGACAAAAAAGTGCGCAAAGCTTTCTTTTATTCTAAGTATCCTATTTATTAATCACAAGTGTTGAAAATGCCACGTCCAATGGTTGACATCTTTGCTGTCATATAGTAGGCCTACCATTAAAAACAACAACTCTCATTTCAATGTCTGTAATTTGTAAATCCTTTGATAATTCCATAGTGAACTTGGTCTATGCCGTGTCTTTGGCACTTCCAAACCGAGAAACACATTTATTTGGACATGGGGGGGGGGGGGGGGGAGTTCTTCTTTTTATCTGATCTTCAAATTATTAAAAATGCAATATTACAACAACAAACAAAAAAAAAAAAGAAGCGAAATATGTAGGTCATTGGTTCGTTTTGATCGGACTTTTGAAGAAACTAAAACTCCTTAAACGTGTCTGGACATTGACTTGACAATTCCACATGGATGCTTGACGTGCTTAGACCTTTCTAGTTTACATTTTAACAACGACACCTGTCATATACTTGTTTAATAGTTAAAGTTGGTGAGAGTGGCGTGAACAAATTGAGTGTTTAAGTCAAATGTTTAAGCCTGGAGTACACCAGTGGCTCGAGTCTTGATATCTCAAGAAATTTTAGACCTACAATTGAAATTAGCAAGTTTGCATTTTAAACAATACAATTGTCAAGAAATATTAAGTTAATACAGATGAAATGCGTTTTAATTCAACTAACTTTTTTGTTAGATTTACTGCAGAGAAATATAACGATTAAGAATTTTTGGTTATAAGGATGTTAAAACATATTTTGTTGCCAAACATTTTTTCTTTTAAATATTGTATAGAACAGAAGTTGTTTTCAAATGTTATCTACGTGATTTTTTCCCAGGACATATTCTATTTAAATCTGAGTCGGTTAAGGAGAATGCATGGTACAATTAAACAGTGCACTTTTGTCTGGCTTTGTGGATAACTTGTCACCTTGCCTATAGAAAGTTCATTGTAGACCAAGCTTATTGATAATGAGTTCTAACAATGTCATGAACGAACCAAAATATTTGCGATATTTTGAGAAATAGTTCCTGGTAGCAGATGTAATTGTAATTATGTAATTAAAGTCTTTCAATGAATTGCTTATTTTTTTTTATTCATAGCATTACACAATTACAAGTCTATTAATTTACTTAATTAAAAGTCCCAAGATTAAGACTGCGATGAAATTTCCCACTTTCCCTCTTTTGTATCAGTTTAATCCGGAGAGAGCATCAGATGATAATTAATATATTGACCTTAGACGATGTCCTAGGGATAGTAATCAATTCTCATTTTATAGACGGTTTGAGTAGAGATGAAGAATCGACATCATCTTCTTAACTAGAGACTGGCGGGATGACTTTGATGTTATACTAGTACAAAGTACAAGGACATCAGACGAACTTAACCAAGGTCTTTCAATCGCCATGAAGCCAGCACGTCAAACGTTTCATCCAGTGGACAGAGGATGGTCGTGGATGATTATGATAGGTGAGTATGAACACAGGAATCAACAATTACAGCATGTTGTGCTTTCGACACAGGAAAAGAGCCACATTTGGTGAAGAAAAATTGAACTCTATATATTATAATTCATTTATGATACAGACTTAAATTTAAAAAAAAATAATACAAGTCGTTAGTTTTAACTTGCGTATCCCAATCAAGGCTGTACATCGACTAAATGCCGCTAAAATTCAACCCCTACACACATCTGTTGTACAATTTTTGCAAGTAAGTAAGTAATAATAATAATAATAAAGTTTATTTGAAAATCACGCTTCATCCCCAAAGGCTCGAAGCGCGGTACAAAGTCATCCATATTAAAAGAGAAATGAAAAAAAAATATATATATTATAACCACATTGAAAATACAAAGCGCAACATTACAAAAACTACACACGAGCATACCCATTCTAAGTCTTTCATCCCTTGCAAATATAAACAACACAGTCCAATATACAACTGGAAAAGATGGTAGACAACATCTCTCGAGCAGGTGTTTGCGAAATTCGGTGTTTTCAATTCGGTTTTGAAGGACTCCAGTGTCTGGCTGTTTCTGAGAGCGTCAGGAAGTGTTTTTCAAATTGTTGGGCCAGCAAATGCGAAAGTGCGCCTTCCGTAAGTCTCAAGGCGAACATGTGGTTTGCCACTATTGGATCAGCGGAGTAGCCACAAAACCACCCGCCGAGGCCACTCCCCCCTCCCCCCCCCCCAAATCCGCTTTACGGACACCATTAATCCCATTACGACACTGTATTGCGGTAGATAAGAGTCCAAATAGCTACTAATAGCATCTAACCACTTTTCTCCCAGCAAGCTTTGGTGTCCACTTTGTGACCATGGGTTACCTCAAGTCCTTTGGACTTCTTATTGTGGAGTTCCAGGAAAAGCTTGGATCTAGTGCGACACAGACCTCGACTATCAAGGGTGTCCAGGAGTTCTGTTACTGCTTTTTAAGTACGTTTTCAAATTGAGTTATTTTAGTTTGTAGCATTATTTATATTAGTGATTATAAATACTTACAATTAATCTTTTATGTCATGCTACACATAGCTATATTTATAATTTTATCTTTCAGCAATTTAAATAAAACCTATAGCTGCTATTCAACTTTCGAAGATTAAAATAATATATTCTTAAAGAAAATGTCTTCAGTTTTCAAACGTTGATAACATTGAAGTGTGCTAGCACAAGTTTGTCCTAGTTTGCTGCAACATATTTAATCGCCAAGTGTATGCCACGACTCGAGTTCCTTAATGTCCCATTGATATACAGTCACATTTAGATGATGTCACTCCGCCCCCCAACCCCCAGAGCTCTATGTGACATGTCTGTAGTGACATGCTGATTAAGAGGCGGTGCCACCGAACCCCTGGTGTACAACAACACCATGCAAGGGTCCTGCGTGTCGAGACAAAGGTCTTGCATGGTAACTGTGTTAGAAAGAGCACAGCTCCATGGTACACAGGTCCATGGTACACAGCTTCATAGTACACAGTTCCATGGTGCACAGCTCCATGGTACAGAGATCCATGGTAACAACCCGATTACAGTTGGAAAAAAACCTACAGAAACAGGTCGGGATCATGATTACCAGTTGTCGCTAATGGATATGAGTCATGGGTGGGTTGTGGCAACCCATGCCAATGATTATATCAAATATAATAAGCGTTAATAAGCAACCGTTTCGTCCCAGCTACTTCATGAAGTATTAACGAGGTGAAAAACATTCGTAGAAACCTTATTAGAGGGCGTCTGGCGCCACTCCGGGATAGAGAGAGGTCTATTTTTAGCACATTAGAGAGTTCGATTGCTGGTGTGGCAAGAACAGCACTACCAGCCGACCAGGTCCTCTTTTGTTCTTATTGTCCCCCTTGCTTGGTAAATCAAGTGAATGATGGGCGGGACTGTCTCAGCGGTGGAGTACTTCCGGCGTGCCTCTTTGCGGTCCGAAGTTTTTCCTTATTCGGGTTTGGAAGAAAAGGTTTACGCTGGTGAGGGTCTAAATGAGATGCGGCAAGACGGACGGCTTGCTGTTTTCTTAAGAAATTAGATTGGATGATGTCACTAACGACGTAGTTCTATCGTTTCGTTCTTTGTTTTGCAGCTCTACTGGTGACGAACTATGGGGTCAAGCGAATGTCTATTCGGACTTTGAGTATTTTGGGCGTCCTACTCGAGACACTGTCTGTGGCTATCAGCGGCTTCCTGCCAAACGGTGTCGTACTCATCTTTACCCTAGGAGCCATTTTCGGCAAGTTCTTGTACAATTAGCATCTTAAACAGGTTAGATGGCAATTGAAGTTTTAATGAACATCTTAAACAGGTTAGGTGGCAACTGAAGTTGTTGTTTTTTTTACTAGACAAAACATTTTTATACAAATATTATCATCCTTAAACTTAGGCTAAAATTATTAAATTATTTTCTTGACATTGAGCCTTCTTGTAGGGTAAGTTTTGTAATCTCAAGGTGAGGTCTGAAGGTTTAAAGTCTTGTTTAAAGCATTTGTTCGATGACTGGAGTAAGTAGGTGGGTCAAACCAAGTGACAAGTTTTGAAGGAAGTGCATTTTAAATGCACTGCATGTACTATACGTTGTTTATATTTGATGTATTTCTGTTTGTTTTGTGGTTTTCCTAATTGAGAGGAAACATTAAAGACCGCCATGAGTGTCATAAACTCTATAGTTAAGCCACTGGGTAAAATGTATTTATGTTTTCTACAGCTTTAAAAAAATTAAGGTAAGAGAATATTCTTTTATTGATCCAAATAAATAGAAATATGCTTTGTGTACATTTTACATAGTCTAAGCTGTTTCTATAATGTAATGATCCATCGCTTGAAGGATGTGGAAACGCACTGCTCTACTGCCCAACGTTGATCATCCTCAGCCAGTACTTTAAGATACGCCGACCACTAGCAACGTCCATAGCAGCATGTGGGTCAAGTGTTGGCGGAATAGCCTTTCCTGCACTGACCAACTATTTGCTGGACCGTTTCGGACTCCAGGGCACAACTCTCTTACTGTCTGGAATAATGCTACAGGTCTTTAATCTTACAACTCTTACTGTCTGGTATGGTGCTGCATGTCTTTAATGTTACAACTCTCTTACTGTCTGGAATGATGATGCATGTCTTTAATGTTACAACTCTCTTACTGTCTGGAATTATGCTACAGGTCTTTAATCTTACAACTCTTACTGTCTGGTATGGTGCTGCATGTCTTTAATGTTACAACTCTCTTACTGTCTGGAATGATGATGCATGTCTTTAATGTTACAACTCTCTTACTGTCTGGAATTATGCTACAGGTCTTTAATCTTACAACTCTTACTGTCTGGTATGGTGCTGCATGTCTTTAATGTTACAACTCTCTTACTATCTGTAATGATGTAGCGTGTCTTTAATGTTACAACTCTCTTACTGTCTGGAATGATGATGCATGTCTTTAATGTTATCGAAACACGATGTCTTCGTTTTGAGTGAAAGAACATTTAAAACATTATTTTAGCATAAAAACACAATTCTTCAGCATACAAACACAGACTTGATCAAATAGAAATCAGATTTGCGAGGCTTGCAAATTCATTGGATGGATGCTATTTTGAATACAGGAAATTATAGATCACAGTGGAGAAAGTTATTTTCATTAAATTTAATATCTAAACAGTTGCAATGAAATGCACAGCCACCAAAAAAAAAAATAAAAAAAAAATAAATAAAAAATAAATAAATAATAAAACAATGAATCGTTGTGGATTTAACTATTTTAAATATTTTAAAAAATGCGAAATTTTCTCACTGTACGTTTTTATTTTTTTTAAAAACTTTAATTTAATTCATATTGGCGACTTATAGGAATATATATAAAATTTGGTTTAGTTTTGATAATATTCAAATACGTTTATTACGAAACGCTGCATATCTAATATCTATTTGGTTGACGTCTTATGGGGGATTTCGTGGTCTAACAAAATTAAGTGGATCTTCGAGACCAATTCTGTGAATAGACGGAGACCCAAACTTTGGTTCCATTATTTCCGTTTCAACAAGACAGTACAGCCGCTAGTAGAGAACTAGTCCCAACATTATCATGGAATGACTGCAGATGTTTCTTTCAAAATATTTAAATTAGACTATATATTCCACTTTGTTTTTTTAAATTCCTCAACAGCAAATGATATTTGTAATTGTGTACACACCTCCATCAGACTACCAGCCCATGAAAGCCAAAGATTACGTTGATGAGGTGGAGGCTAAGCTCGGTACAGACAATGGTAACGGTACACAACTACACTCAATCAAATCTCCGGTTGTAGAGGAAGAAAAACAACTCTTGGCGAACTTAAACGGCACAGACAACGGAGGAAATTTAAACCAACTGTTGTTGAAAAATGAAAACTCAAAAATTTCTGAAACGGTGGAACCAAATGGTTCCAATTCTTTAAACTCAGTTCCTAATTTGAAGATCAGTCGTGAAAATAGCACTGAAAACAAGGCTAATCACGAAACAGATTTAACGGATATAAACGAACGATATTCCCTTCATCCCAATGAGGACACACTGCTTGCAGATACCTCAAACAAAGTACTTCCTCTAAGACAAGAAACAGATACGTAAGTACAATTCATTGAATACATTGAATATTTTTGGACATAAAATTCTTCAAACTCCCAAGCTCCTCCAATGACACTTCCCCAGCCCCTTCAATTAGGCACTTCCCTGACCACTCAGCATGACACCTCCCTGGCCCCTTCAATCTGACACCTCCCTGGCCCCTTCAATCTGACACCTCCCTGGCCCCTTCAATCTGACACCTCCCTGGCCCCTTCAATCTGACACCTCCCTGGCCCCTTCAATCTGACACCTCCCTGGCCCCTTCAATCCGACACCTCCCTGGCCCCTTCAATCCGACACCTCCCTGGCCCCTTCAATCCGACACCTCCCTGGCCCCTTCAATCTGACATCTCCCTGGCCCCTTCAATCCGACATCTCCCTGGCCCCTTCAATCTGACATCTCCCCGGCCCCTTCAATCTGACACCTCCCCGGCCCCTTCAATCTGACATCTCCCCGGCCCCTTCAATCTGACATCTCCCTGGCCCCTTCAAACTGACATCTCCCTGGCCCATTCAATCTGACATCTCCCTGGCCCCTTCAATCTGACATCTCCCTGGCCCCTTCAATCTGACATCTCCCTGGCCCTTTCAACCAAACACTTCCCCATCCCCTTCGAAGTGGCAACTCCCCAGCCATCTCAATATGCCACCCCGTAGCCCCTTCTACCTCACACCTGCACGGACACATTAAACGTTAGTTTCCATTCCTTTTCCCCAATATGATCCTGTACCACCCACTTCCTTACTCTCGCAACCGTTCTATTTCTCTACCTGTGCATCCTCGTACTCTCCACCATCTCGAACACTTTCTTTCTTTTTAGTGAAGTTCTGACCTAAAACATATCATTTTCATCATCCTCTGTCCAACCAGTCATCTCCACTAACACCACATACATTCCATACTACCTTCTTAATATTTAATAATAATAATAAAGTTTATTTGAAAAACACGCTTCATCCCCAAAAGCTCGAAGCCGGTACAAAGTCAACCATATAAAAAAGAGAAATAAAAACAATATAAAATTTACCACATTTAAAAACAGACGCAACAATATAAAAACTACATACGAGCATAGCAAGTCAAAGTCTTTCATCCCATTTCAATCATAATTTCAGATTGTCATTACTTAAAATATAATTTATCATTGTCTATACTTTATTAAAAGGCTTTTTTTTTCAAATCTCGGGAGAAAATCATAACACAGTTAAGAAATAGCAAAAAAAGATATGTCTAATAGAAAAACTAAAAATAAGTATTGCTCTAAATTTCACTAACTCGGAGGATAAATGAATCAAAGAAATCTCCTGGGAAAATGTACAATGCAATTTGGTGCAACTATCTCATTTTTACACATGTTTATTAAACACAGCGCAATCGTCTTGCCCACATACACTTAAGCCATACAAACAGTACATAGATTATACTCATCGACTTACGCACATTAACTCAAGCCATACAAATCGTAGATAGCTTATAATTATTGATAGAGATATTATCAGTACCAAAACCTATTTGTCCTCTTTATCCAGCAATGAAAATGTGGTATCGCGGCCTCTCAAACCAGGATCTTGCTTCAAGATCAAAGTCCCCGCCATCATGAAACTGCCTACGTTCTGGGTTCTTGCCATCTACTACATGTTTGCCAAGAATGGGACGGTGATCCCAACTATTTATTTACCGACATTCGCCAGGGAGAGAAACTTGTCCCACGATGAAAGCGCGCTTGTCCTGATGCTCTCATCCAGTGTGGATATTGCTGGCAAGATTCTGTCAGGTAATTGGTCATCTTGTTGGAGCTATTTTTCGGTCAGATAATAGATTTATTAAATGAAATAATCACTATTTTTTTTTCTATATTCTATTTCATTTATATAAAACAAATTAGCTTGAATGCTTAAATTGATTTAATGTTTCTTTCAAGACGGATACATTTGATTTCCCACAGGCCTGATACTACACTTCAAGATTTTGAAACCAACATCATACATGATTATCCCCCTTGTGTGTATGGGTGTCATCTACAACTTAACTCCATTGTTTACAGATTTTAACTCCATTGTTGGCCTTGGGCTAGCTTATGGACTTCTCTGTAGCTCATTCTGGCCACTACTGGTAATGTGCTGGGGATTCAGTCTTCTAGTTCTCGCCCTTAAAATTTCCTATATCTTACATCTCAAACTTCTTAAATATAAGAGTAAGTCTTTTTGAAATAAAGCCTACTATACATTTTATGCAAATTGTGGTAAAAATACTGTTAATAGTGGAAGGAGAACTGAAATATTTACTAAACAGCGGAAATAAGCTCAAGGCAGGAGTATATACTGAATATGTTGTACGTATCTCACCTCAGGTACCTGTACAAATCTAAATACTGATTTTATGGACGAATCTCTTTCCGTCGTGGATATGAATTTATACCTGTTTTGATTCCATCCCCAGACCTTGATTGTAATAGAAGTTCTCGGATCCAAGCGTTTGCCGTCAGCTCTTGGATATTATTCTATATTCATGAGTCTTTCTGGGGCCGCTTCGTTTCCTATTAGCGGTAAGTCATCAAATCCCAAAGTGACAAATTTAAAAATGTTTCAAGAGTTAGAGAAACAATATTCGCCTTAAGGGTAAAACTGTGTATTGTCAATTTGCTGAAAAGACCATTTTCAAAAGTAAATCCCTTATATTGCAGCGTTTTGTAAAACATGCAAAATTTGAGCGAGTGCAATAGAAAGTTATGCTGTTGATCAAAGATGCCATATTTAAAAATTCAAAACTGGTCAATTTAGACCATGGAGCACAGATGAGATATGTGCCTGACAGCAGTCTACTTCAAAGGATATCCACATACATTGACAATGGAGCACAGATGAGATATGTGCCTGACAGCAGTCTACTTCAAAGGATATCCACATACATTAGAATACATTAGAAAGCTGGTTCATTTGCTCCGATTAGTTTTAATTTCACTGTCTCTTACTGTCAATTTGAATACCATTCGGACAGTGACATGATTAGATAAGTGTTAGAAAGCCAATGTCTGCAAACAACATAATGCTTAATTTGTATGATAGGACAATGTCTGCAAACATCCCATATGATGTTTCATTAGAATGATAGGACCATGACTGCAAAATCACATATGTTTCATTAGTATGATAGAGCAATTCCTGCAAACATCAAATATGATGTTTCATTAGATTGATAGGACAATGTCTGGAACATCACATATAATGTTTCATTAGTATGCTCGGACAATGTCTGCAAACATCACATATGTCTGCAAACATCATATATGATGTTTCATTAGTATGATAGGGCAATGTCTGCAAACATCACATATGTTTCAATTAGTATGATAGGAAAATTCTTGCACTGAGCATTTTAAAAAGGAATGTGTAGACTTGAAGCTGCCCTGACACTCTCATGATCCTATCATGTGGAATACTTTCATGACTTTTGGCAGCTCTGCACGTTCCCCGTGGTATTAACTAAAGTCGTAACAATCCTCAATCAACATAGGCTTTAGTGTAATCTAGGACAGTATCAATCAAAGGCTTTAGTGTAATCTAGGACAGTATCAATCAATATAGGCTTTAGTGTAATCTAGGACAGTATCAATCAAAATAGGCTTTAGTGTAATCTAGGACAGTATCAATCAATCTAGGCTTTAGTGTAATCTAGGACAGTATCAATCAAAGGCTTTAGTGTAATCTAGGACAGTATCAATCAATATAGGTTTTAGTGTAATCTAGGACAGTATCAATATTTATAGGCTTTAGTGTAATCTAGGACAGAATCAATCAATATAGGCTTTAGTGTAATCTAGGACAGTATCAATCAATATAGGCTTTAGTGTAATATAGGACAGTATCAATCAATATAGGCTTTAGTGTAATCTAAGACAGTATCAATCAATATAGGCTTTAGTGTAATCTAGGACAGTATCAATCAATATAGGCTTTAGTGTAATCTAGGACAGTATCAATCAATCTAGGCTTTAGTGTAATCTAGGACAGTATCAATCAATATAGGCTTTAGTGTAATCTAGGACAGTAACAATCAACATAGGCTTTAGTGTAATCTAGGACAGTAACAATCAAAGGCTTTAGTGTAATATAGGACAGTATCAATTTACGGATTGAAATAACTGCAACTGTTTTATTTTTAATGACAAATGAAGTGATCATAAAATTGAGCTATCAAATTTAGATGATAAAGACCTATGGTTTGTAATTTCCCCAAACGACAAAGCCGTCTACATTCAACGTGAGTGATTGACTTTTCTTATCCTCAATTAACCTTTCAGGTAATGTCCAATGTCTCATTTTATGTTACAGGTGCGTTACGTGATGCCACAGGCACCTACACCTCATCTTTTCACTTCTTTGGAGCCCTGTACTTAACTGCAGCTCTCTCTCTTGTGTGTGTCAAGTTTATGATCAAGAAAAAAGATGACAACGAAAAAAAAGCGACTCAATAAAACATCTAATATTCATTATTTTTTTAACATAGATAAAAAGACAAATATTTTATTTTAAAATGTCAAAACCAAGAATTTAGCTATTATCTATTGTGGCAAGAAAGTAGCTATTATCTATTGTGCCAAGAAAGTAGCTATTATCTATTGTGCCAAGAAAGTAGCTATTATGTATTGTGCCAAGAAAGTAGCTATTATGTATTGCGAATGGCAGACTTGAGCTCATCATGAAAATATCAATGTGTGTGAAAATAATTGTTTAAGTGCCCGTGTAGGACTGATGGATATTTAGGTTGGGAACATTTTTAAAGGAGCTGATAGCCCTAAAAATGTCAAATAAATAAAGCAATAAGTTCATCTAACAGGCCATATTAAACAATGTTAGTTCAACTTAAAGTCTATAATTGTGAAAAGTATGGCTGTATATTGTTACTAAACTTTAGTTTGCTGCATTATTATGTGATGAACAATTTTATTTGTATACAATAATAATATGAGCCCAAGAAAACCTACAAGAAGTGCTAACATTTCGAAAATAAATGTCCTCTTAGACTTTGTTGAGAGAAGACAACTCGTGATTAACATCATTCTTCCCATCACATTTCGTAACACACATACACACAAATTACAAAAATATAGTACAAGAAAAGATAAACTCAAACATAAATACTCCAAACAACACACGGACACACACACAAAACATACCCACACCCTTCTCCCCCTGTCATAGTTACTTTTTAACGCTGAGTACCGACACTACTTTAAATAGCTCTTCACTACAACTCCATTGACAATAAGAGCCAGGCATGTTCAAGGTAGCTGGGGATCAATTCCATTCATGATTCCCCTCGCTGTGTTTTTAAAGTTTGAACGATGAACTCCGCAACTTCTGGTATGCCCAGCCCATGCTTGGCTTGTATGAAAACTGTTGGACCATCCTGTCGCATGCATTTTGCATCTTGCTCCATCCTCTGTAAGCATTATTTACAAAGTTTTAAAATACAGTTTTCTTGTATTGGTTTATATTTGTATTTTAAAAAAAAAAAACTGATTTGAAACTGGGGAACTCATTCGTCTTAAGAAACAATTTAGAATGTTGTGATTTTATTATAGTGTGATTATAATTGTATTGGATAACAAGGAAAATATATTTCCTTTCAGCAGATCACTAGCTCAAATAAAAGAATCCCAAAAATATTATTACTACTCAAGCCAGACATCAACACCATTTTATAAAAAAAGTATTTGTGTTTATAAATCTTGATAAAAACAAAAAGGATAATAAATGAAGTACTGGGTTCAAGCTGTAGTGTGAAGGAAATCGTGGAACAAGGTTTGTGAAGGAAATAATGGAACACGGTTTGTGGAAGCTTGCTATATAAAGACAGCACAGTAAAACAAGAACGTTTCAGCTAAACGCCTTCTTCAGTAATTCAAAAACTTTGGTGTTTGGAGTTCGCCATTAGTGTTATTGCTGGTAGTTGGGTTTTTAAACTACTTTCCATCTCTTGTTGTTCTTCATTTGTTCTGAAGAAGACTCTTAGTCGAAACGTTCTCTTTTGATTGTCCTGTCTTTATATTTCAAAATTTCCACATACATTTTCCACTATGAAGTGCACATACACTTGCATTTAAAGTTCTGCCACTAACTATATCACTAAACTTCTTACTATCTCTAACATCATCAAGAGTATTCCTTGACCTTGTTACCAGGCAATCATTTATTACTTACAGCAAGACTTGCCCCTACTGCGTCAGCCAGGTCTGTTTTATTGATAACCAAAAGGTCACTTTGGGTTACACCAGGTCCACCTTTTCTAGGGATTTTGTCTCCACCTTTTTAATATAGATGCAGTAGGTCAGAATATGTACATTTTGTCTCTACCTTTTTAGTATAGGTAGACTAGGTCAGATTATGAACATTTGTCTCCACCTTTTTAATATAAGTACATTAGGTCAGATTATGTACATTTTTGAAGCCACATAAAGCTCAAGGTTCCGAATAAAATGTACTCAACATTTTAAAGAGTTTTGAAAAATAAAATCCATTCTTTTCCTAATATCGCCCTTTGACCGTAACGTGGACCGTAACGTGGACCGTAACGTGGACCGTAACGTGGACCGTAACGTGGACCGTAACGTGGACCGTAACGTGGACCGTAACGTGGACCGTAACGTGGACCGTAACGTGGACCGTAACGTGGACCGTGACGTGTTGTAACATTGAAGATGTAAACATATCAATATCCTCGATAATGACGTTTGGTAATTTAATTATGTTATATTGAAATATTAGAACATTTTTAAATGCACAACCTATATCGTTTCATGTGGGGTGTACAATAATTAAGGACATATTCGAACTGTCACTTCAAGACATCTCAAGAGAACTGTTACTTCAAGAAATCTCAAGAATTTTAAGGTCAATAAAGGGTTAGATTAAAACAAATAACTTAAATTTGAAAGAAGAAGACAATTATTAAGTCTTGGTAGCAATTTGATTAGAATTTATGTGAACAATTACGTACCTGCTACGTCAATGACGTAGATGATGTAGTCTGCCAATTCCCGAGAAAAGTTGGCAGCTAGGTTATCTCCTCCTGATTCCAGCAACACAATGTCGGGGTGAAATAGCTCAGTTAGGTCCCTTACCTCCGCAATGTTCAATGAATAATCCTAGGATTAGTAAAAAAAATAATCTTTGTCTATAATTATCCTATAAAAGTATTGAGTTATAGAAAATAATGTACATTGAGAGATCAACTAATATTTTGATATTATTTCAAAGCATTTCGTTGACGTAAAGTTGATGGTTGAGACACATGATGACGTGGTCGTTGATGGCTTGAAATGAAACATAGTTAATATTAAAAAAAAAACAACAAATAGAGCCTATTTAATGTTCAATTGATGAAATATGTTTATTTATGTAGATTAATATATATCTACAATGTTAAATGTACCTCGCGTATAGCGGCATGAGGACAGCCTCCAGTCTCAACAGCTCTCAATCGTTCTGCCTCCAGGGCTTTGTGTTCCACAAGAAACTGCCAGTCTTCCCTGAAAGGAACAGTATGCAATCATTTATTTTATCCAAGTTTTTGTAATTTATGTTGTCAAAAGGAGATTTGTTTTGAAATTGAATAAATATTGATTTTTTTAAAAATAACTACACTAAAATAGGTGTAAATGGATTGTATATTTCATTTCTTGAACTATTTTAATAAGACGTTGCCTTAATTGGAATATGATCACATCAAAATATATCAACATTTTTGCTATCTATATATTAAAATCCTTTATATTAACTTCGTTTTTGTTCGTGTGTTTCTGGCTGGGTGGCAAAATCTTCGGACAGTTAATTGACACACTTCCCATCAACTTATCGAACTGAAACTTGGCGCATAGAGGTTTGTCTATAGCAACTCATCTTATACAATTTTCAGCCCCAACCCCCAATAATCAGTTTTTCAAGTTGAAGCTGAATGAAACATGATGACACTGATATATTGAATCAACATTACCGATAACTGCGTTAAATTAGATTCTTTAAAAAAAAGAAAATTAATGTCGCAAGTGCGTTTGTTGCTTGATATTTTCTATTGTTTATATATATATATATATATATATATAAGAATGAGCTATGCTGACCGTAACGCCAAAAAAACTGAACAGATTTAGATACGTTCGGATTCTTAAAAACAATTATAGTTACTTTATATTATTTTACGGAAATCGCAAAAAAGTATATATCCACCTTTATTTTAGTAAACGTTGAAGTATTATTATTACAAATTACAAACACATTTAAAGTAACAACTATCGAACTATTTTAAGCATTTTATCCGAATGTAATAAAAAAATTATGATCTCAGAATTGCATCGTAATCACATTTATCGGGAAAACCCAACATCTGTTAGTTTTAGTGCGTTGTTAATGATGTTAATGTTGCGGAAAATAATTAATTTGATTTAAAGAAATATGCAAATGATGTCACAGCGTGAATTGCCTATTTTAGACGAAGCTCTAAGTTTCTCTGATTTAATAACCCTGCGTAACAGAACTGATAATGTATATATTAAAAGTAAAATTAATAAATATAATTGATTGCTTTTTTAATTGCTTAAATTTGCTAAAATTAAATACAACTATAGCTTTGTATTGTTAACATTTAATACGTTTTTAATTTTATTCATTCCAAAAATATACTTTTCTGAAATTTATAAAGTAGTAAAAACGTAACCTTTAAAAATGCCGTTTAATTCAATCAGTGAAGTGAAACTAAATAGCTAAATAGCATTCACTAATGAACTTATCACTCATCCAAATAAGAACAAAGCATATGAAATGCATAAAAAAATAAATTTAAAAAAAATTTTAAAAAAATTGAGGGAAGTAAGGGGCTTACAATCCCGTGGACGACAGACACTTTACGTGAATGACAATATCTTTAAATCAAATGATATTAAAGTTGTGAAAAATAGATGCTATTTTACCAATTAAGAAAATCAATGACGTTAAGAAGACGTAAGTAGGTTTACATAATTGTACCCATTATTATCAAAACCCAATCATTTTACACAAGTAAAATTATTTAATTTTCAAAATAGCGATGGTTAAAATTTTCTTAGAAAGATAGATAAATAGACGATAGACCGACAGACAAATAGACAGACAGACAGATATATGGGATAGATGATAGATAGATTAGATAGATTTAGATAGACAGGCAGGCAGGCAGGCAGGCGGGCGGGCAGACAGACAGACAGACAGACAGACAGACAGACAGATGATAGAAAGATAGATGATAGACAGATAGATAGGTTAGATAGATAGATAGGTTAGATAGATGATAGGTTAGATAGCTAGATGATAGGTTAGATAGATAGATGATAGGTTAGATAGATATATGATAGGTTAGATAGATAGGTTACATAGATAGATGATAGGTTAGATAGATAGATGATAGGTTAGATAGATAGATGATAGTTTAGATAGATAGATGATAGGTTAGATAGATAGATGATAGGTTAGATAGATAGATGATAGGTTAGTTAGATAGATGATTGATAGATAGATAGATGATTGATAGATATATAGATGATTGATAGATAGATGATTGATAGATAGATGATTGATAGATAGATGATTGATAGATAGATGATTGATAGATAGATGATTGATAGAAAGATGATTGATAGAAAGATGAGATAGATGATAGATGAGATAGATGATAGATGAGATAGATGACAGATGAGATAGATGACAGATGAGATAGATGATAGATGATAGAGATGATAGATGAGATAGATGAAAGATGAGATAGATGATAGATGAGATAGATTATAGATGAGATAGATGATAGATGAGATAGATGATAGATGAGATAGATGATAGATAGATAGGTAGATGATAGATAGATAGATGATAGATAGATGATAGATAGATATATAGAGAGATAGATAGAGAGATGGTTAGAGAGATAGATAGAGAGATAGATAGAGAGATAGATAGAGAGAGATAGATAGCTAGATAGCTAGATAGATAGATAGCGAGAGAGAGAGAGAGAGGTAGAGAGATAGAGAGATAGAGAGATAGAGAGATAGCGAGATAGCTAGATAGCTAGATCGCTAGATAGCTAGATAGCTAGATAGATGATAGATAGATGATAGATAGATAGATAAATGATAGATAGATAGATGATAGACAGATAGATGATATACAGATAGATGATAGACAGATAGATGATAGATGATAGATAGATGATAGATAGATAGATGATAGATAGATAGTTGATAGATAGATAGATGATATATATATAGATGATAGATAGATGATAGATATATAGATGATTGATAGATAGATGATTGAATGATAGATGATTGATAGATAGATGAGATAGATGATAGATGAGATAGATGATAGATGAGATAGATGAGATATATAGATGATAGATAGATAGATAGATGATAGATAGATAGATGATAGATAGATAGATGATAGATAGTTAGATGATAGATAGATAGATAGATGATAGATAGATAGATGATAGATAGATAGATAGATGATAGATAGATAGATGATAGATAGATAGATGATAGATAGATAGATAGATGATAGATAGATATATGATATATAGATAGATGATAGCTAGATAGATGATAGCTAGATAGATGATAGCTAGATAGATGATAGCTAGATAGATAGATGATATGTAGATGATAGATAGATAGATGATAGATAGATGATAGATAGATGATAGATAGATGATAGATAGATGATAGATGATAGATAGATAGATGATAGATAGATAGATGGTTGATAGATAGATGATTGATAGATAGATG